TTCCATAGCTTCTAAAGCGAAGTATTACTCAATACTTTTCATGGTCAATCACCTAATGAGTGTGAAATGAGGCCGTTTCTAGGAGAATGAATGCAAGGCTATATTCTCTAAGTTCACTCATGAAAACCAGGAATAGTTCAGGGCCACAATGAACACAATAGAGAACTAAGTTCTACGAGAAAATGAAGCTGCGTTATGCATGTTGTCTCGGTCTACATAAAACACCGGTTGGTTCAAGACATCATGTTCACCTTCTGGTAAAGTAAACCCGACAGATATTAACTATGAGTGGTTCAAGGCTTAAAAATGCCACCAACTCAAACACAGTTTAATTTTCGCAAACACTCTCGATAAGTCTATCTAGTCTAGTCAGGATTAGAATAAGTATTTTTTTTTAGTCTATCGAGTCTGCATATAGTCTGCATATGTTTAGAGTCATTTCTATTCATGTGGGGGATTGTTGGATCAATTCTTATTAAGCCCAAGGCTTATCAAGAATTGTAATTAAGTGAAAAGAAATGGGCCTAGCCCTCTCTGATTAAATGATGTGCAAGGGACAAGTCCCACATCGACTAAAAGAAGGGAGAGGCATTCATATATATATGTTATGTCTCTTACCATGGTTCAAACGGCTCAGAGGTGGAGAGAGCTTCCCACGCGCGCGCCGCCGCCGCCGTCCGGCCGGCTCGGCTCGGCTCGGCTCGGCTCGGCTCGGCTCGGCGTGGGCGTGGGCTTGGGCTTGGGCTTTATTGGAGGGCCTTTGGCCCGATAAGAAGTTATCTTTTTGGGCCAAGTTAAGCTCAACGTTTTGCCACCGAGATCCTTGAGAGATTTTCGGAAAACGTTTGTAACAGTTTCGAAAACCGCTCCTCATCTCCTCTTTAAATATGGTCTCTCCTCCCCATTCATTGATCACTTTTCTAAATCGTTTCACACAGAAAAAATCCAGCAATCTCTCAACGTAAGTCTAAAGAGAGTGTTCGTAGAATTTTTAGTTCGTTAGGTCGTTTCACGAGTGAAGCGTGATTCGTCTGCCATGGTTGTATCCTGGGACTCGATATTCGTACAGTTTCGTCTCACTACGGAGCGAATATTAAGAGTTAAGGAAAGAGATTTATCTCGCCTCCATGTCTTTAATAAACATCTATTTCCTTAACTCCGTCTTTCTTATATCGTTCATGTCGATCCGGTTTTCCGGCTTCTACAAAGGACACTGATCTAGAGATGACACACTAAACCAGAGATCCCAAGCTGGATATTACACACCAGCCAAGTCTCAGCTCGCCAAAGGCAAGAGAAGAGAGAAAAACAGTTTTCTGATAAAAAGATCGATTGATTGAATTCAAACTCTCAGCTGCATACAATGATAAATAGAAACATCCTAAGCTAAAAGAAAACCTAATCCTTAACCAGAATGGTTTAGTTTAACCCTAATCCTAATTCAATTCGAAATTGGTTTATTACTTGGTCTAATCCTAATCCTATTAAAACTTGGTTTACATGAATTACAATTAAAATAAATAAACCAACAAGCTGGTTCTTCTTTGGTTCTCTCTTGGCCACGACTTGACTTGATCTNAGGATCGCACCATACTCTCTCCCTTCAAAAGGATTTGTCCTCAAATCCAAGTCTTGTAAGATGATAGAACCTTGATTAATCAACTCCAAACTCCTTGCTCTTTTCAGCTTGTTCTGATCAGTTATGGATCTGATCAAGAACGTGTTTCCTCCTGGTCCTCCTGTATGTTTACTCCGGCTACTCAGTATCACACCATTTGGTAGAGGTCGCACCACCATAAACGTGTCCACCATCTCATCAGTAACAGCAGCTCGAGCCTTGCGGTGTCTCTCCACAATTTCTGTCAAAACTTCAGTGAGTCTCTGCTTTACTTCTCCAGATAGCATTCTTCCTTCTCCATATTCCTGAAACACAAAAAGACAGAGATAAACATTCTTTATTCTATGTAAAGATCTAATAACAAGAGCTAGAGAGGCAAGTGTAATGTATAATTCACCTTCTTTATGTGTTCAAGTTCAGTATCATCATCTAGGAAGAAATTCAAGTACTTCAACGGTGTGTCTACCTGTGAAATAGTAGAAAAAAGATTACCACAAAAAATAAATACGTTTGGTATAGCACCAAGACCGATAAGAACACAATCTTGCAAGAATCAGCTATTGATACAGAGTAGTTACTTAGAGCATGATTATTGGTAAAACCTGGATTTCTTCTTTTTATTATTATTAATGTTTATCCCATTTAAAAAAAAATTAAAAACAAACCATTCGCGGACCACCACGTGTCAGTGAGACTCGTGAATAGTACGAAAACCAAAACAAAGTCACTCTTATTTGATTACTTTTGAAACCAATTTTTACCCATTTGTGGGTCCTCCTCCCCTTAAAAACCTCCTAAAATTCTCCCAATAATCTTGGTCTTAGTCAATAACTTAACGGAAAATCCTTCTAAAATTCCAATGTGAGGAATCAACACAACTTTTGCAACTTATATTGAAGTCTATTGTCACACCTCAACGTGCGCCATTTAAAACCAAAGTGTAAATCTAACTAAGCTAATATCATTTTCTAACCATAAAGAATTATAAAGGGAGGAGGTAAAAAAGAAGAAGAGAATTGGTACCTCCAGATCTGCTTCAAATTTTGCTTGTTCCGCCGGGTTGTCTTTTCCACCACTAAACGCACTATTTACATGTACATGTAACCTCATCAATTTAACATATTGGACCTAATGATCTAATTAAGATTTCCATTAAAACAAGTGCAAGGATTCAAGTGCAATCTAAACCAAACAATGAATATATATCCTTACGAAATCCCTGAGGAAAGACATAATGGACAAAACAAACTCATTACAGAGATCATCACTCACCTTTTTATTTATTTCCTTGGCGGTATCAATCAAGTATATGGCTGAGTTAGGATTATTCGCCGACATTTTTCCACTCACTCCCTGCGAAATAGTGATTAAAGGCATTCAATAGTTAGAAAGCATGAAGTTGCAATACTAACATATCTATAAAATTTGAAATATCCTTAAAATTAGTGTAAGAATGTAAGTCCCTTCAGAGAAGGGAAGAATGATGACTCAATTAGAGCAGGCTTGCTATAACCTATCCTAGGTGCAACATCTCGAGTCATCCGAAAATAGGGATCCTGAAGAAACAAACAAAAGCAATATTGATTATTAAAACACACTAAAAACAGCATAACATAATAATGATACACGAAGAACATGAAAAAAGAGATAAACTTGATAAATAGCACAAGGAATTAAGCAACGAAGATTGTCCTTTCCAGGGAACAAGTGTTGGAACGAGCTAGCAAAAGATGGAGCTGCCTGCAAAGTGCAACATTAATGTTATAAACACACATTCTTTTTACTTTTGTAACACACAAAACGTTCTGTATGCATTATAGAATAATAAGAACAAAAAAAAGAACAATAAGAACAAAGAGACATGCCTGCACAGGAGGGAAACTGGTTTTTCCTATATTATCTTCGCCAGAAAAGCCAAAGATTGCCTTATTCTAGCAACTAAACAGATATACAAATATAGAAATAAAGAACTCAAACGCAACTATAAGTTAGTCTATGAACACGATCGATCAGAGACTGGTCGACTCTCTTGCAGCCAAACTTGTCTACAAGCTTGTCCTAGTCGATTTTACCGCCGTCTTTGGCAGATACTTCCCATGGATTCACGACTTGCTCCAGCAGCGATTTAAACTCTTGCTTCTCATCAGACCCTTGTCTGATCTCATGTATGAGGTGTTGTTTCATTGGTGATGAAGGAATTGTGCTAAGTTTCTGATCAATTAGTTGCATCAGTTGTTTGATCTCATGTATGGCCTTCTCTTCCATAGTCTCTATCATCTCCCTGGTGTGATTCAGCTCTGAGATATGTTAAAAAGAAAAGAAACAAACTGATGCTGAACGAACTATTTAAATGATTCTTAACCCTAAGTAAAAAGGAAAAATACCCAATATCTAACAATATTAAAAGAAATCTACTCTATTAAAACAGAGTCATTCTTTTTATCTACTGATACAAGTTTTCATTTAAATTTGGACTCTTTCTAGAGTGTTACAAATAATACAAGTTATATAGTTAACTGAACCACATTACTTAAATTAAACCGATGATTATTTATGGGATATAGTCTTGGGCTTACTTTTGTTTTTAGAACAATTTATATGGTTTGGTTTTTGGGCTTAGTATTAAGGAAAAACTCCAAAAAACATTGAATAAACTTTCCACCTTAATGGATAAAAAATCAGTTATTATTTTCAAGCCCAAAAGGTATTTAATATTTTTAAACAAAAAACATATATAATATTAATCATTTTTTTAAATCATGTACTTTAAAACATGTTAATGTATTTTTTTATTTTAAATAACAATCGTTTTGTTTTGATAAACTTCAATGGTAACTTTTAAATAATTTATTTTTTTATTTCTCTTAAATAATTTACTAATTTAAAAAAAAAATGTAAAGCAAAACCAAAAACCAAATCTAAATACTAAAATCCAAAACCAAAAACTGAAAAAACAAGTTATATTTTTTTGCTTTTATTTATTTAGAAAATAAACTATTGCAAATTTCTTTAAAAAAAATTTTGTCATCTTTTCAGTTTTAAATTAGATGTTTGGTTATTTGAGATTTGTTTGTTAGTAATATCAGTTCAAACTAACTCAGCGGGTCTAAAAATTAAAAACTCAAACCAAAAGCTGAAAATAAAAAATAGAAACTTAAAAACTAAAAACCAAAATCTAAAACAAAATCTAAAAATAAAAACTGAAACTAAAAACTAATGAATAACAATCATCACTACAAATTTTGGTGAACTGATTTTATCCCAAAACATTCTTTAAATTAAGATAAAACCCAATTACATAAATTTTTAATTATAAAAAAATTTTGCGCTTGAAAAGCGCGGATCAAAATCTATTATATACTTAAAGGAGAGAACTGCCACCTCAAATTAAAAAATCGACCAATAAGTACTCTGTTTTTTGCCACTTCATACCGGATTACTCAGAAAATATTCGAGGTGGACCATTCATGTGGGCTGAAAATATTAGATCCACTAGATTCTAACCCGCCCTTTTAAAGGGCGGGTATAATTTTTGTTTTACATATGTACTTAATAATAATTAGAATTTTATGTGTTTTATATTTATGCATAGTTTATGTTAGTATTCATTTAAATTATGTATTCAAATTATTTTTTGATATAAGTCGTAAAAACTATTCAAAATGCTTTGTAAGTTTTAAAGAATTATCCGTAAAAACTGCTATAATTTAAAATGCTTAAAATACTGGTTTGATTTAAAATATTTATTGGTTTTTTATTCAAATATCTAAACCAACGTATTTTATGTTAATGTATATGTCATTTAATATTTTGTTATTGAATTTGAAGAATTTTAAGATATATTTTAGTTTTAAAAATTTATATGATTTAAACGGGTATTCAGAACTGAATTAAACCTATAAAATTATGAACCGAATCAAAATTTATTAATATCCAAATGAGATTTAAATCACTACTTCTAAAAACTTAAAACCTGAATAGACTTACACCGAAAACTGAATAAATACTTGAAAGAATATATATATTGTAGGAGTTGTTAATAGTTTCCACTAAACATAACAACTACTATTTCCATATTGAAGAATATTTGATATGTAATACGTATTGGTGATTTTCATTAAATTAACTCTTTACATATTATATTCTTACAAAATAATATAATAAATTAAATATTAAAAAGAGTAGATTGTATTTCTATGTTAGTTTTTTCAAAAAATAAAATATTAGGTGAAAAAATAAAATATGGGTTCAAATATAACACATTAGAACCTTACTTAAAATAAAATAATTTGACATAAACCATCCAGTAAGTTACTGGCAGTAACATTTGTATTCTTCACCTATATTATAAAATAAAATAATTTGACATAAACCATCCACTAACTTATGTATTCTTTACCAATATTATTAGAGAATATTATTATCAAGTGCTAATATTAATATACGATTATGATTCATTTAATTAAGGTTATATATAACCATAGACTAAAAATTATCCCAAGAATTGTGGAATTAAAAAAAAAACTATCGACAACTGAGAGAAGTGGATCCCTTAAATTATGGAATTAAAATAGAGGTTAGTAAAATGTAGTTCTTTTTATCAGTTGTAAAAGTTGGTTACAACTAATATATTTAGATAATCATTTAAATGAAGTTATATTTGTAGTTGGACTACACATATATCAATTGGTCATGATCCAATTTTAATAGAATAGATGTCCCACAAACCTTTTGTTCATAAGAGTTGATTACACTTAGAAGCATTTTTTGAATTTTTCTTACACTCAAAGGCACTTTCTACTTGTGAGATACTTTATTGTGGGTCAGCCACATATTATGGACAATTTTACCCTTAACACATATGTGGACAGATGATACGTGGACGGACGATGTGTGGACGAGAATGAGTATAAAGAATCCATAAGCTTCATCCACAACAATTGAGCTTAAAGACACGGTCCGGTCCCAACACCAATATTTATCTGTGGACAAGAAATGAAACTTTTTTTATTATGTTGTGGATGCTACCATTACCATGAATAAAGAACTAGAAAAATCTCTTAAATTTGTGGATAGGAAATTGAACTTTGATGTAATGGATAAAACAAACTCAAATACTAAAAATTCTCAACCATGATGTTTTCATACAATAAATATTTGCAAAGAGTAGGTGTGGATAGAGGCCATGTGGATGGGTGTGAGTAAGACTCAAGAACATTATATCAATATAATTGAAGCGTGTATTACGGAACCAAAGGGTCGAGATTTTTTTTATGAGATGATTCAGTTCATATGTAACTCTAACTAAATAGACTCACAAAGTTCCTACCACCAGAGTAGGCAAGTGTGTGTAGCAGGGACAGAAGTGAAAACACACAATATTAACTTAATAACTCTGTCTTAAAAAAAGGGACAGAGAGGCTAACCTTTGATTTATTCTGTAGCTTAGTGACAAACAATAAGTATCGCTTCAAAGAGTAGTCCTTTGAGTTCCCAAGAGCCACATCCATTGCCTTTACACGGTCCCAACACCAATATTTATCCCAGAATACCAATAAATAGCTCCACAGGTCCATCATGAACTAAAGGAGCCTGCCATCTCTTTGACAACTCGAGATGCCTTTAGGGAGCAAAGCTGAGATGTGATGTTGGCAGAGAGGCAACAACAACAGAGTGGACATCTCCATTTACTGTAAGCCTGGTTGCATCCTCGAGTGTAAAACCCTATTTATACACAACAGAACCAACCAACTCAATGCCAACACAATGATGTAGAAACTGAGTATGATATATATATATACTCATAGTTCGATAAGGGAAAGATGTAACATGCTGTCCATCATCATTAAAATGGTAACCTTCTAAATCAGCGCTAAGAGTGAGAACATAAAGCTTCTCTTCCACAAAAGGAAACGGCCATTCTACTTTAACTCTTTTCCTCCGTCCTATAAGTCTATTCAACCACCATCTTGTTCTCGACCCTTCTGAGTAATTATCATCATCATGGATCCACTTCTCACACTTCACATGACTATCAACTACAAAACAACACTAACCACATTCCTCAAACAGAACACAAACAGATTATACACTTAAAACTAAACTCTCACCAATCTCTTCCTCATCTTTTGACCTCCATCCTTCACACCGTTGTGAAGATCCCCACTGCATTCTATAACAAGTGTTCTGCTCAATCACCGGCTTTCTATTCCAATCTCCCTTAAGCCTCAGGTTGAAATGAAAGATCCGCTCTCCATCAACAGTCTTCAAACCTTGAAGCTCAATCACAAACTGAGAAACGACCTTAGTAGATCCATCACCTTCCTTTGGATGACTCTTCCTCGGCCTCCCAACTAAAGTCACGTGCGGAGCAACGTCAGGCGCGTAAGTAGCCAGAACAGCGGAGGCCATGGCTGGTTCAAACTCGGACATCCGTACACTTGAAGTCTAGTCCCATCGCTCACATACAGTCATAGACAGATAAAGAAACAAACATATTTGACATACAACGACTCAATTTATGAAATTAAACTCCAAGAAAAGTGTTTCGAAAAGGAAAAAAAACTCCAAGAAACAAAGGAACTATCGCGTGTCTTCCTCCCCCATTGAGAAATACTAGTTTCTATTTTAAAAGAAAGAAACATATATACATATACAACCAAATCTCTGTAGCAAAAAGCGTTCTTGAGGATATGGATTAGGGATGATGGGCGAAATATGGGCTGGGTTTGGGCAAAGAGTGATTCTCTTGAAACGAGAAAGTCGGTTTCTTTCGAAGAGATTACAGTTCTTAAGATTCGTCACGTCTGAGATGATAGTCTGGTAATTGGAATTTTAAGTGGAACTAGGGTTTGTAATTTGGTAAAGGGGAAATTTAATTTAGATCAGATTTTGCTTGAGATAAATCTTGTCAGATGAAATTGGTCGTCTTTTTTATCAGAGGGTATTGATGTCTTTCACACACAATAAAGTGTGTCCAAGTGCAATGTGCCTTGAATTGTAATAAGAAAGTGAGAAAGTGGCTTGGAGAGTAAAAAATCTTTATTCTTCGCCACCCACAAGGATGATGACCTCCAACTTTTCAATTACGTCTTCGTTGTTCTGTTTATCTGGAATTCACCGTTATCTCAACCCAGCATTTTTCATTCAATTATGTTTTTATCTTTATCCATGGTTTCGTTCCACCTCCGTTTGTTCCTCCTCTTTTATAAATCCCTTCATCCAATTGTGCTTCCCATCAAAATTGAAAACCTCCACTGTAGAAGATAAAGCCATAGCTATGAACTCTGTTAAGTTCAACGGAAAGTCTCCCTTCACCACCATAAAGGCTTCCCGCTCCCAAAGCCATGTACTTTAATTTATTTGTTTGATTCAAATATTTTTATGGTGAAACTGGGACTACAAATATTTTTATTCATGCGCTCTTTTAGTTGTAGATCTCGACAAACCTCATTTCCAACATTCTGATACCGAATAAGAGGAGACACATGTGTTTTCTACTCTTTTTTGTACATTGGTTTACAATCTCAAAAGTAATTACGCGGAGGCCTTGAGAAGGAACGGTATAAGTTATTGTTGATACATGTATTTATACTCTTGGTGATGCCTTTTGTGTGTTTCTTACTGCAAGTGCAAAGGGGAAGTTCTTTGGTGGATTTGATATCTCTGGTTTTGTGAAATACACAAAAGGCAAGTATGTTTTCGTGTCTTGCTATCGTTGTTGATTGTATTGGCGTTATGTATTGATGTTTGTACTGATGTATATTAATTTTTTCAGCAAAATATCCCAAGGTTGGATACATATCAATTGACATCATAACCGATTTCCTTGAAGGTTAGCTTTATAACGTACCAGTTTAACTGGTTCCGTTGATCAATTTTTTTTTGGATCTCAGTTGTAAGGGAACCTTCTGTCGCTGCCAGCAAATATAGTAAGCAAAAAGTTTACAGTGACCTATTATAAATTTATATCTATAGATTTGAAGTGAACAACTACCATTAGTTGTACATCTTTCTTATGTGACTTTGTGTGCAATGAAAACTAGTGGTGTAAGCATTAACCCTCTTTTTTCCATGGTGCAGTACTGTTAAATACTATTTACTTTATTATTTGTTTTATATTCTCATGACTACATTATCCTAAATACCTTGGCTAATTGACTTCCTTCTTTTGCAAGTATAGCTCGCAATACCTTGGTCGAAGTAGTGGAAATTTACACGGAAGAAACTTTTTTCTTCTGTAAGCTATTCTTTTTTCTGCATAACAGTGCATTTTAGTCTATTAGCACTGCTATAGTCTACAATGGCTCAACTCGGTGTGAGTATGTTGTTAAGACTAATATTTTTTTCGTTTCCCCTTTTCTATATGTTTGGAAACTATTAGAGTTTTGTCGATGAAGAACACTCTGGAGCCGTAAGTCCGAGAAATGTTATCGTGAACATCTTTCTTGACTTTCCATATTTTTCATGTTTTGATATTGAGCCATTATAGACTATGACAGCTTCAGTTTTGCAATTGTGGCTGCAACTAACGCTTACAAACTTATAGTGACTATGCCAGCTGTGAAAACCTTTCAAGTTGCACGTACTTGGAGCAGAGATTATGCTAACAAATCCAGAGAAAAGTATCAGATGTGCAGGGGATTAAGCTAAAGAGATTGCTCTGAAGACAAAGAACGTCTATAAGTTTAAACAGTTTTATAATACAGTAGTAATATAATGTAATTATAATGTAAATGAACAAAGTGAGCGGAGAGACCATAGAAGTCGCCATCTTCGATTTAACAACCAATGAAGAAGAACGGCTCTTCCAGGTTTGCGCTTTTTTCAGTCTGATGGTTTCTTTATTTATGTGTGTTTCCAAGTGCTACATTGCTTACAAAGTTCCTGTACTTGAGTTGTAGTCAATATCGTTGGATATAGGGCTTGCTTCAGGATACGCTAGCTGAGAAAAACTGCCTTCGATCCTTAAAATTTGATGGGATGCTGTTGTGACTTTTTGACTGATATAGTCTTGTGCTTTGTTAATAGCAGGGATTTTTTCCTATATTTTTCTAACACAATAGCAGGAAAGTTACATATCCTTTATGTTCATCATCATTTTTCTCCTCACAGCCTTGATCTTTCTGAGCAACTAAAATTTTATAATTTATAATATAAAATGATTCATGTTATAAGTGAATTTTGTGCATGTATATAATTCTGAAGTATACATATCTCAAGTTATAAGTGAATTTGGGTTCAGACTTATGGTGATCTGCTACGTTTAGCCGCTAACAAAATACCTCTAAAATAATATTATGGGTTGCATCTTTAGTTTAGCTTATTTAAATTTAAAATACAAATTTTATCCTAAACCTACAAGTATATGTTATAGGTCAAATATACATAATGTTGTTATAGATTTAGTTCTGAATAGGTACACTAAAATCAATAAATAAACACATATAGTTAGTTAGTATATATATTTAATAAAATATAAAATTCTCTAAAAATTAGTTTTATTAATAACGTTATCGAACAAACAAAATTTTCACTTTTTAAAAAAATGAGTAGTATAGAAAATATAAAGTCAAGTGATACACAATTTTAAAAAAAAATTAAGACACTTCTGCATATAAGAATATGAAACAAACTCTTCAACAAGATAATCAAATTATTAATTACTGGCAATGAACCAAAATAAATGTGAAAACAAATTATAGACACCATTTTTTCAAAAAAAAAACTTATAGAATCTGTTTTACAATTATTACTTATTAATAATAGTTTTTTATTTTTATAAACACTTCAAGATTAGTATTAAATGTTGATGCCAACTAATTTTGAAGATTTTTGGGTGCAATTTAGAGGATTATTCTATAATAGCGAATAATCATCAATATATCATTGGGAAAATAGCATAAAAAACCTTCAAAGTGGTACTCGCTAACACTTTAAACCTTGAACTTATTTAACTAGCATATTGAACATTCAACTTGACATTTGTATCACAAAAAACCTTCAACTTGGCTTACTTGTTCTTCAAATTTAAATTGTGACTTGTTAACCTACAATAGTAGGTTACATGTTGTTTTTTTTTGTTTTTTTTAATTAATAAATACAATTAACAATAAAAAACTAAATAAAATTAGAAAATTACTGAAAAAAATCTAAAACTGAATTTAATAAAAACCAAAATATCTTCTTAAAATTTAATTTTTTTTTTTAACGTGTAAGTTTTCAAAAATATTTGTTTTAAAGTACAGAAAAATTCAAAAATCTTAATTTAAAAAAAAAATCAAAATATTTTCTTAAGAATTTACAAGTGTTTTATTTTTATTCTAAATGAAATTTTGTGATATATGAGTGAATATTTTTTATAAACTATATTAAAAGGGTATGAGTCTTAAAAAGTCTATCTATGAAAGTTGTTTATACCTTTTTTTTTTAATATTTTGGTCTTCCCCTTTATTTTCTCTAACCATACGATATTATTATTAATGGTCATATTAATATTAATAGCAACTAAAGCAATTTTATTATCCCCATAATTATATTAATGTATCTTACTAATAATTTAATACCTTGATAGATTTTTTTTATTTTATTAATAAAAAAACGACAACTATATGATGATTTCGATATGAACATTTTAACTCTTAATACACTTTTCCAATATCAAAGATAACCTCTAACTCATATTTATTTGTATGTTATTATTATTAACTACACATTTAAAAAGCTTATAAAGCAAATGCTTTAAAATGTTATTCAAAAATAAATAGTGTTGATATACCACTAGTAAAAGGAGCACTTTTGGTCAGATCAGAATTAATAATAATGTTTTGTAAGTTTTAAACGTTTAATTTTGTTGATATCTATAACGATGATAATTTCTTATATAAAAATAACAATGATTTTGACACTATTTTCATTAGCGATATAACCAAATATGTTATTCTTAATAATGATATGACAAAGAGTGTTCAAGTTAATGATGATAATGTTTAAAATTATTTATTTTTTGTGAGAAAATTTAATAGTTTTTAGATGATTTTTTTTTTTAATTTTTTAATTTGCAAAATTCTCAATTTAAAAACTTTGAAGTTTTTAAGAAAATATTTTTGATTTTTATTAAATTCAATTTTAGATTTTTTCTGTAATTTTCTAATTTTATTTTAGGTTTTTTATTGTTAATTGTAATTATTAATTAAAAAACAAAAAAAACAACATGTAACCTACTATTGTAGGTTAACAAGTCACAATTTTAACTTGACGAACAAGTAAGCCAAGTTGAAGGTTTTTTGTGATAAAAATGTCAAGTTGAATGTTCAATATGCTAGTTAAATAAGTTCAAGGTTTAAAGTGCTAGTGAGTGTCACTTTGAAGGTTTTTTATGTTATTTTCCCATATATCATTGTAAGTTGCATCAACTCAAATAGATTCTAAATACCATAAAGCTTTCTAATTCAATATATGGTTTATATGTTTATAACAATGTAATATATGTGTATCATATATATTAAATAGATTGATATTTGTGTAATTTCGGGTGTAGACCAGGTAAAATTTCTAGTTTTTTTTTATTTCCTTTTTTTAAGGTGGAGCATTTGGATTTAATTAGTGGCAAAGGTTTACATTTATTACCCATGTGAAAGTTTATCTGTGAGCCCAACACAAAGAATCTAATTAAACCGGCCCATGACCGAAGCCTAATGATTAAAATTGGAGTATTGTATTCTCCTAAAGCATAATATAAATTAAAAATATTATGCCTCGAGCCATAACCAAGAAAATAAAGTACATTTAACCTTCGTCCATGTTGGCTTCATGTTCCCTCTCTCTCTCGTGTTTCCCGTATTAACATAGAATGTTTGTTTGTTTTTTTTTAACGCTTGCGTAACTTTATTAGATCTTGAAAAAAAATCAAAGTACTGAGCATCTCAAAAACACCATGAGGAAAACCAACAAGGAACCGCATAGCGGCTGCACCCACTCACTGCCCTGTCTATCAGCTTCAAACATAGAATGTTTGTTTACTGCCTAAAGTTATAAAACTATTCAGAAACAACAGCTGCGAGTGCGCTTCCCTTAATATCTCAAGTTTTTCTAAATCTTCAACGTGGAATAAGTCTTCGATCAAAGAAAAGGAATAAGCCTAATATTCTTCATATCTCTCACTATGAAAAAACTCATGAATGTGTATGATTTGTGGTGGAAGGTTTGGCCAAGAGTCCATTAATATTTCTAAACCATAAAATCTGAGTTTTGATTTTCAAAAGAAAAAAAAACAAATTATGTAGAATCAAAAAGAAAAACATTTACAAGAGATCTTCACCATTGCACAAAAAATACTATCATAAATTAATTTTATAGGCTGTTCAAAATTTGTAATAACATAATTAACAAGTATCTAAAAAAAACTGTAAAATTCGTATCTAACTTAAGCATTTTAGTCAATTTCAGGATGAGTATAAAAGAGCCATTGGCATGCTGAATATATATATCAAAAGATCCACCGTTGATCTCGCTTAAGCTAAGCATAGGGTGCGTTCCAATCTTCCAACAAAGCATATCTTCCAGACTTCCACTTTAGTTATATCTCGAAGCGCCTCAACAGCTTCTTGACTCGCTCAAAAGCATCACCCCATTTGGGAAAAAGACAATTAATGCATCAACATAAATCGACATAAAACATGTCATGACAACAATAGCCTAGTGTGCACACAAAAGTAAAAAGAAAGACAACAATAAGCAGTAATGTTCATATCTGGAGTACTCGATTAATTTGAATGTTTTAGGCTAGAGTTGTGGTCTAGCGATTTTCAATCTTAAACCTTATTTTGAATTCAAAGTATGAATTTTATATTGGACAAGTAACAAGTTAAACTGTCAGAAAACTGGTCTTTTCTTATGGATTGTTGGTATTAAATTGTTTGTCCGGTTGGCTTTAACATGGATGGCCAAGGTTTGGTTATAAAATCATAAGATATTATTATTATCATTCATAATTCATGAAGGGGAGTGATTTTATAAATCTCTTTATTCTAAGAAATGCATCGTTGACTTTCCATTTTCTTACCGTAATTAAATACTAAGATCCAAATCCCATTAATTTCTCAAATTTTAAAATGATTTCAATATACACTCTTCTTGGTGTAAGAATAATATGAAAACCAAAATAAATAAATTCTCATCTGTCGCCATCAATGGTCCAACCTGTAATTCTCTTCATCATCACTCTGTCTCATAAATATTCAAATAACATTGAGCTGAAAACTCTCTTTCTCTTCTTTCAAAACTTTGAGCTCAAGCTTTGTTGATTCCAATCTCCTTCTCATTGAACATGACTTTCATTACCCCTTCATCACCGCCACCATTAATACCTCTTAAACCATACACAAGCTTCGATATAACAAGCAAAGTCAGCCCAGACGTCCTTCTAGTAATCATAATCCTCTCCATCATCTTCTTCATCTCCGGTCTCATCCATATCCTTGTCAAGTTCCTCCTCACACCATCACTTCAAAACAGAGATGATTACTTCGACAACAACAACGTCACAGCTTTTCAAGGCCAGCTTCAACAACTTTTCAACCTCCACGATTCAGGCCTCGACCAATCACTAATCGACAAGTTACCTGTCTTTCATTACAAATCCATCATCGGTCTCAACATTACATCTTTCGACTGTTCTGTTTGTCTCTGCGAGTTCGAAACAGAGGACAAGCTCAGGCTCTTGCCTAAATGCAGCCACGCCTTTCACGTTGACTGTATCGACACGTGGCTTCTCTCTCACTCTACTTGTCCTCTTTGTAGATCCAATCTCCTTCTCTCTGATTTCTCATCTCACTACAGTCCAAGATTATCGTATCTACATGTTCTTGAGTCAGCGAGTGGTCGAAGCTTGAGGGACATAATTCCTGTTCCTGAGGCTAATGATCTTGGGTCGACCCGTTTTGGGTCGGGTCGTAAATCATGCGACCCGGATGGTGAATTGGTTGTTCCTTTAGAAGTTAAGCTAGGGAAGTTTAGGAACGTAGATCATGTTGGTGAAGGAAGTGACAGCAACAACGATAATATCATTAGTGGCAACAGTAATGTAAATGTTAGGAGGTGTTTTTCAATGGGGTCATATGAGTATATTGTGGACCAAGGAGCTACACTTAAAGTCCACGTTCCGACCAAGAATCAATCCGACAAAGATGGTCGTTTGCCTGGCCATAGAGCAGTTATGTCTGAATGCGGTTATGATCCTACGGTTAAGGGAATTGGGAAGAGTGTTGTGGAAAGGGAGAGTTTTTCTTTGTCTAAAATTTGGCTACGGGGTAAAAAGGAGAAGCAGAAGGGTACTAGTGTTAGAGATCAGGAATGTTCTTCTTTGTCTTCATCTTCTATCAGATTTTCGAAGCAAATGGATCCTCCTGAGGCGAAGAATGGGATCAATTTCGATGAAGAGAATCAAAAGAGCGAAAATTCGGAATCTTTGGAGACGAAAACGCCATCTTTTGCTAGGAGGACCATGCTTTGGCTTGCAGGGAGACAAAACAAGACTGTTCATCCTTCTACATCCAATGTTTAGTTTTCTGTTGTTGAAGTTTTAATCTTATTTTCAAATATTTGATAAGATTTGTGAGTTTTCTCTAGAGAGAAAGTAGATGAATAGCGGGGGATATAAATATATGTAGGGGTTTTTACTTCTTACTACTTGGGCACATTGGGAATTTGGTTTGTGTGTGCTGCCAATGCCACCCATTGTTCTAATTCTAAATTTTTGTTTCTTATAACGATGGCCCTTCCTATGTAACTGAGAAGTAAGATAACTATACAAGTAATGGAAACAAAAATATAAAGCTACTTCGATAATTACTTAAGCTCAAATAGATTCTTCTGGTTCTCAATAATCTGCTATAAGATGTTTGCCAAATTCAAAATGTTCCTCTAAACGAATGTTATTTAAAAAAAAAAATTATCAGAGGCAAGCAACTACTCATGACTCATCTATCATCTAGTATTAAATTTTCTTTTTGGATTTGAGAGAGCATATATAAGAACTGAGTTTGGTGGGAGGCAGTTGCACTTTAATTGATATCTTGATATCTTGACTCTTTTGGGATATGTACCAATGTTCATCATACATGTCATGTGTATATGTATACAAGTGTTTAATGTCGACTGCTTAAAGTTTTCTGCATTAATTGGAAGTTAATAAATGTCACGGGAAGAGTAGGGTTTGTATCATTGTATGTCCCCTAGACACTTTGATAGTTTACACTTTACATTTTGTGACAATACCTTTTGAATAATTATCAGTCTTGATCTATTTAAATTCTAATATCATGAGTATTCATTGTCTTTCACCTAAAAAGTTATTGGCACAAAATGTGGTCACTCATCTCATTCAAGATTTAATTAGGTCACTTTCCACTTTCAATTTTCATTTCCAACACTCCATACAACTAATACAAGTTACTAGTAAACACAAGCATGTCAAAAAGAAAAGAAAGTCAACACTTTTGCACAACTTTGAAACCATTTTGCGGAATTTTAGCCATTTATTTTCCAGCGATTAGCCTGTGGCCACGTTTGCTTCATAACCCTTAGCTCTGACAACTGTATACACCCATTTCATATTCAATATGGGTTATGATGACGTGGATGTGATTCTAATAGAGAATACATTTGGCTAAAGTTTGAGTCGTGGCTAAGCTTTTTCTGTTAATAAAAAATCCTAAGTTATCGTATAATGATTAAGGTGGAATGCCTATGGGCCATTAGTTTAAGTAAAAAATTATTAGTAATTTTACATTAGTATGTTAAGATAGATGAATTTCCAATCTAAAACCAATCGATGATAAGTAGAGTTGTTCATCTATTTTATATATTGCTTAAGATCTCTTTCAATAACCAATGTGAGACTTTTGTTCTTAATACGCCCCTTCGAATGATGGTTCTTTAAGCTTCACTTTTGGAATGATTGGACAAGGATTGATGGACCAACATTGGACCAGATCGATGAAGATCGGGTTAGACTGTGTAGATTGTTGGTTCTGATATCATGTTAAGCTAGATCAAACTAAAACTAATTGATGATAAGTGGAGTGGCCCATCTATCTTATATATTGCTTAAGATCATTTCCAATTACAAATATGTAACCTTTGTCCCTAATATAGTAGGTCTAGATTTTGAATTAAAAATAAATAAAATTATACACATTTACGAAAAAATATTTATAAAAAAAACTGCAACATAGCACAAATAGTACCATCAAACGTGAATTATGTAGAATGTCTTAGATGATACAATTATACGCATATTAATTTAAGTAAAGAACTAAGAGAAAATTTATTCCTATTTGTTCTTTACTTTTTTTTTCAAATTACTTACTTCTCACTTTTTAGTAACAATAAATAACTTTCTTACTACTGATTCGTTTTAAATAATTTTACGAATTCATTATTTTTGATGATATATTTTCATTATAACAACTTAACTAAAAATGAATTATAAAAACAGAGTAATCACAAACAAAATGTAATAAGGTGATGCATGGAACTTGATTTTTTTTAACCAAACACATATAAAGATCAATTATGGTTATAATATATTAATATTTTAAATGACTGAACACTAAAAAATATATCAAATAGGTTTTTGATTTTCGTATGACCAAACACAAAAAAAACTAAACATGACAACATCCTAATTTTCATATGATTATTCATAAAAATGTGAATACAGTTAAACGCTACAAAAATACTAAAATAAAAATAATCGAAATTATATTAAGCTACCTTGAATTCATTTAAAGCACATAGCATGCTTTAACAAAAGGGATAGAACTAAAAATGAAAAAGAAAGACATCTGCTGTTTTTAAAATAGACAATAAAGCATTGATATATTATAAATTTTAAAGATTACATGAATCTAAATGTTTTGAATTTTTCTAAAAAGTGTCGCTTGTTTCTTCTTACCTTTGTGTTTTGTTCTTTTCTTTGTTATTTTCACAATATTATCCATAGAAATTGACCAAACAGAAAAAATAAAATTCAAGTAATGAAGTTACAGATAAAATATATCTACCTAACATAAGATATAGTATATTTACTTTTATGTGTTTATGAATCTTTACAACTTTGATAAAAAGATTGAATTTATCCTTTTTAACATTTATCTCAAATAAATAAATTTCATCCATAATTAAATGTACATTCTTTGGAAATATCTTATAATCCTTGTTCATGTGTGTTTATTTTAAACTGTCAATATTGATTAGTAGATAAAATTATAATAACACAAATAGCACGCACAGATTATTATATTTTTAATATTTAAATCTTAGTTCTTCCATAGTTGTTCCAATTATATCTATATTATTATCATCAAATAATTTCCATCATCGACTATTACTTCAATTTTGTAACTGAAGAAAATTGATTAGTTTTAAACTTTAATAATAGATCAGTATATATCGATATATTTATTTATTTGTAACTATATATTAGTTTTAAACCTTATAGATAAATATCAATGTGTATCGATGATATAAAACAATTATAGTTTTGTTANTATATTATTATCATCAAATAATTTCCATCATCGACTATTACTTCAATTTTGTAACTGAAGAAAATTGATTAGTTTTAAACTTTAATAATAGATCAGTATATATCGATATATTTATTTATTTGTAACTATATATTAGTTTTAAACCTTATAGATAAATATCAATGTGTATCGATGATATAAAACAATTATAGTTTTGTTAACGGTGGTTAATTATATTAATACAAATTGTGAAAGAAATTACATAAGCGTTCTACAGTCAAAAATTGTACGCATTTTATAAGGATTCACGTCTACATCCCCATAAGTTTTACATAGGACTCACACCATACATATTTTTTGTACAATGCTAAAATTATCTTATAAACATTTTGTCCAGTAAACTGATAATTTTCCTTCTCACAAACTCAAAACATGGACCTGATAATGTAAAAAAATTAATATTTAGTCAAACCTAGACCAATGGGCTTCCATAAAAAAATAGTTAATTATATGAAAATAATAAAAATATTTTTACAGTTCTCTTTTTGTTTGGAATTTTAAAGAAAATTCTTTATTTTAAACCAATGCCTATTGATTTTGTAATTATCTTAACCCATGTTTTTTGACTTTTCAAATATAATTTTATTTTAAATAAATACTACAACTAAAATAAATTTATAGACTTCTAATTATTTTAAACACATATTATATTTGGTAGTGCAAATAATATTCTACCACTAAAATAAAATTATAATAAATTTTGGTTTTAGAATTCTCTTTGTAAAATCTAAAATACTATTATATTTATAAGAATTTTTGAGATTTTATTTTGTATATAAAACTTAAAATACTATTTTTCTTTGTAATTATTTTATACCCATGCTTAGGAAAATAAATACTAATATTAATATCGATTTTTTTTTGTTTACAATATTTTGTAAAAATTAGAACAATATAAAAATTACTATTAATAACTATTTCTAAGAAAAATTTTGAATTTCTTTTTTAACTTAAAAAGGAAAAATTACTATTAAATAATTATTTTTAAGAAAAAAATAAATTCGTTTAGTTTGAGTATTTTTTATAAATAAAATTGTAAGAAAAAATTAAATTCGTTTTTAGTTTGAGTATTTAAAAAGGAAAGTTACGATTTAAAATTTGTTTAGTTTACGTGTATTTTTAAGAAGGAAAATTGTAAGAAACAAATAAATTCGTTTAGATTAAGTATTTAAGTAAAAAAAAAGGAAAACTATGATTTAACATATGTCACAATCTTAGATATGTAATTGCCACATGTCACAATCATGTTAATTAGTAACTTTGAAAACCAAGTTTTATATAATATGATACTTAGTAAGTGATATGTTATTCATATATATCTTGAATCTCTTTATGAACTCTTAGTATATGTTTTTCGAATATTAAGTATACTTTAAATAACTTAAAAAGTATATTTTAAATACAAACCAAAACCCTAAATCATATACACTATACCCTATATCATATTATCCTGTTTCATATACTTGTTTGGATCTCACTATTTTCATGTATAGTTTCAATCTATGTACATATTCTCTCTTAAATATTTTCCATAATTTATTTTCTTTTTTAGTTTATCATATTTTGAGTACAAAAATTTAGCACATAAATACAAACCAAAACCTATATCCTAATACATGTTTCATCTATACTATTTTAACTTTAATGAAAACGTAAATTTTCCAAAAATACTCCTAAACTTACAATGGAAATTTAATTCTAATTAATTCTAATTAGCGATTTTAAGAGTATTTGTGGTTTTAGTAAAAAATCTAATTTAACAGACTTTTCAAGAAAATATTGATTTTGCGGTTTGACATAAAAATCAATTTTTCATTTTGATAAAAAACGATTTTGCCATTAGTGCGAAAACACCTCAGTTTTATGGTCCGGTAGAAAAACCTGATTTATAGTTTTGGTAGAAATACTCAGTTTTATCATTGACCAAAAAATCTTTATTTTGCAGTTTTAACAAGTATTGTATTTGATAGAAAAGGTTATTTTGCAGTTTATGGTTTGTCGTTGACAAAAAAAATTCAATTTTGCCTTGGTAGAAAAAAATCGAGTGTATGAGGACAAAAAGAAAAAGAAAAAAAAACAGGTATTTGTATTGAAATCTTTTGGCTTTTAAGATGTAAATCTTACATTTAAATTCTATATTTCTTTGCATCTCAAATATCTAGTTATTTGAGATATTATGAATTTTATATCTAAATGTAAAATGTTGATGTTGGTGCAATAGTGTTCAAG